GAGGGAGAGGGGAAAAGGGACAGGGGAGATGGTCTCTGCAGAAGGAGGGGCCTGGGGGAGCCACACGCTGACTCCATCACAGCCCTCAGCCCAGGGAAATGCTCATCCTCACTCCCATCCCCACCACAGCTGCCTCTGCCCATCTCAGGATCTCAAGGTGGCTGTGTCCGGGGCTGCCTGCCCAGCATCTCATGCCTTTGTGCAAGCATCTTCCGTGAGCTCCCTGCCCACTGTCGATGAGGACCCCCTCCCTGGCCTGGCATTCAAGTCCTCACCCACAGGCTCATCCTGGCTCACTGCCCTCTCCAGGCCTGCTGGATGCTCCTGGTTCCCCCCACCAACACGGCCTCCTCACATTCCTGAGCACACTCATGTAGGTCCCAGGCCCCTCCCCTGTCCCGCCCTGGCTTCCCAGCATAACCAGAACCAACCTCCTTTTCCTTTTCCTTACTGTGGCCTACACGACCCTTCCCCATCATCTAGCCCCACCTGCCCTCTGGCCTCAACCCCTCCCATCCTCCAGGATGCCAGCCACAGAGGGCCTCTCTCTGCTCCTGGAACACAGCAAAGTTCATTCCCACCTGTGCCCTTCACCTGCAGAGATGTGCGCTGGTCATCACTCCTCTCCTCACTCAGGTCTCAGCTCAGGCAATCACCTCCTCAGAGAAGCCCCCGACCACCTGCTAACACCAACCCCTGCCCCTCCTAGCAGCTCTCTTCTACTGCATTACCTCTTTTCTTCTCCTGCTTTTACCACCTGAAAGCATCTTTTTGACCTGTTTACAAGTACCCAGGTAGCTGTTGGTCTTCACCACCACAACGTGGCTTCAGCATCCACGGTACCCCCGGAGCCAGCACACTGCCCTGCACAGAGGTGTTCAATATATTTTTATTGAATAGACGAGGGAGGTGTGGATGGTGGGGGATGAGGGCATGGATGGATAAACAGATAGATGGATGGAGAATGGACAGAACATAGAAGGATAGATAGACGGATGGATAAACGGGGGATGGAGAATGGACAGAACACGGATGGATGGAGGACAGATGGATGGAGGATGGATGGATGCATGAGTAAATGGAGGGATAAATGGGTGGATGGATAGATGGTGGATGGATGGATGGAGAATGGATGGGTAGAGGATGAATGGATGGAGGAAGGATGGATGGAGGAAGAATGGGTGGAGGAAGGATGGGTGGAGGACGAATGGATGCACGATGGATGGGGGGATGAATAAGTGGATAAATGGGTGGATAGAGCACATATGAATGAAGGATGGATGAGTGGAGGATGGATGGAGGGAGGATGGATAGGGGGATAGATAAGTGGATGAGTGAGTAGAAGCCTTCTCCAAGCCCTTCCCCCAACAGGACTCTCTCCCCTACTCTCCCTTCCACTTCCCTCCCAGAGCATTCTGTGCCGTAGTTATCACATCTGCCTATTAACTATGAGCTTATTAATACTCCTCCTAAGGCAGGGGCTGTGTCAGCCCCCTCAACACCGCAATCCCCCCACACATCCCCACAGTGGCTGGTCCAAAGCCTTTCTCCTCCTCCCACACAGCACTGCACCTGCCCTACCAGTGGGAGGCAGGCTCTGCCATCCCCAGCCTACACCCCACTCTGCTCTAGGCCTAACAAGGGAACCGTCCTGGGCACGAGCAAACCCTGGGCACAAGCAAGCGACGGCTGAGCCTGCAGCACAGCTCTCAGGAGGATGCACACGGCCTTTCTCTCTCCCCAGTCCAGTCTGCTTACCAAATCTACAAGCCCAGCTGCTACAGTCCACCTGGCAGCCAGCATGAGCATCCTAGAACATCTCTGCTTTGCCCTCATGCCGGCTCCAGGCCATGGCCCCAGGCCCTGCCTGGCTCTCTAGCTCCTCGGCAGCCCCTCAGCCAGCAGTTTCTGCAGCAGTAGAGTAGAGTAGAGCCAGCAGTTTCTGCTGAGTGTGTTGGGGTGGCCAGGCAGGGCCCCTTGAGGAGGCAGTAGTTTAGGGAGACTTGAATGGCGGGGACATTATATGAGGTGGCTTGAGGGAGGAATGTCCCAGCCAGGGGCCCCAGCTGGCCCCAGCCTGGTGGATCCTCTGTGCCCAGGTTTGTCTTCCATAGCTAGTCCGAGTGTAAGCAGACAGTGTGATCTGGGCCCAGAACATGGCCGGCTAGGAGGGCTGCCCTGGCCCGCTGCTCTCAGAGCAGCAGCGTCCCTGCTTTAATTCTCTAGGCCTGTGTCTGGCTTGCTTGGGAGCCATCGCTTCCTGTCCTGCCTTCTTGGGCCTTTCCTGGCACCAGAGCCCTCTGGGGAACTGGATTTCTGGAGTGCCGGTGAGCATCTGCTGGGCATCAGGCCTCCTCGCTGGGCCTGGAAGCAAGTGTTCGTGGACCACCTGCTGGGCCAGGTGTTGGGCATGCCAGGGACGCAGCAGACGGAGCCCTGGGCCTCATGGCCCCCTCCTGCCTTCCCGGGGCACTGTGCCCTGATGCAGGAGTGGGCACTGAGGGTCTTGATGCAGGGGTGGTCACTGAGGGTCCTGATGCAGGTGGGCACTGAGGGTCCTGTCCTGATGCAGGGGTGGGCACTGAGTGTCCTGATGCAGGTGGGCACTGAGTGTCCTGATGCGGGTGGGCACTGAGGGTCCTGATGCAGGTGGACACTGAGAGTCCTGATGCAGGGGTGGGCACTGAGGGTCCTGATGCAGGGGTGGGCACTGAGCATCCTGATGCAGGGGTGGGCACTGAGGGTCCTGATACAGGAGTGGGCACTGAGGGGTTGTGGGTGTCCCAGGTGGGCACACCTTGACCTCTCCAGCCTATTCTCTTGCTGTGTGTCAGCTGCTCTCCCAGGAGTTCAGCAGAGCTGGTCTTGACTGTGGTTTGGCTGTGCCTGTGCTACCTCTGGCCCCAAGGAGCCCGGTTTGGGGGTAGACATGCCTGAGACAGACTGTTGCCATCCCACGCAGTGGGCACTCCTGAAGAAAGAGTGCCACGTGGTAGAGAAGTTCATTCTCTCTCGTGGGCTGAGGACCTGCAGACAGGACCCCTCTCCAGACAGGGCAGGAGCAGGCAACACCTGGAACCCTCCACGTGAAGCCAGGGTTTGTGGCCAGGCGGGCGGTCCAGAGCGCTCTCTTTCCCTCCTCCGGGCTGGAGGGCTGTGGTGTGGCTCAAGGGGCCAGGGTGAGGGCTGCTCCAGGCACAGGAAAAGCCTGCGGGTGGCCTTGCTGCAGAAACTGCTGGCTCTACTCGCCCCAACACACTCTCCTCACGGCAAGTCACTATGGAAACATCTCAGCAGCTGGCTGGCTAGAACGCAGGCCACAGGAGGGCAGAAGGGAGCCCCCCTGCCTTGTGCCTCCTGGACACCCAGCACCTGGACCAGGATGCAGAGAGGCCCATGGACACGCCCACCTCCCACAGCTGGCCAGTGTGGCGGCTCATCTATGGGGACAGATCTCCATCTGCAACTTCTCCTCCACTCACCCAGACCTCTCTGCTGGCTATGACAACACTGCAACAGGGAAGAGTTGAATGGGAGCCTGGAGTCCCCACGGAGGCCCAAATGGCTATAAGCACCACCTCCTGGCCTCTCTCCCAGCTGCTCCAAGAGGCCACCAGAATCCCACCTGCCCTCAACCTCCCTGGGGGCTCAGCCATCCCCTGCTGGCCTCCCAAAACTAGGGGCACCTTCAACTCGTCCTTCCAGTCAGTCCTGGGGCAGCCTGGGCACTGGTCAATCCACTGCCTTCTCTCCACTCCCAGTCAGTCCTGCAGCAAAGGCCCAACCCCCAATCCAGCCACCTCACTGTGGCCACCAGGGACCACCATCAGGCTCCCTTTGCTCTGTCACCCGGGGACGAAGTCCACACTCACCACAGCACACAGAATGTGGCAGCCAAAGAAGGACGGGTGGGCAGTCAGCGCCCTCTAGCCTCACTTCCTCACATCTCCCTTGTGGCCCCAATTAGCCCTCTACCTGGGACCCCACGCCCCACCCTCATGTGGCCAGCTCCCATGCAGGCACTCAGCTCTGCCCAGGCACCTGCTCCTCCGGAGCCTTCTCCAAAGCCCCGCTGGCCCGGCCAAGGACAGTGCCCTCAGCTGGGATCCCTGAACACCACGCCAGCGCCGCCATTAGAGCACAGGACCCAAATGGGTCTTGGCCCAGGGCCTAGCCTGCTCAGCCCCAAAGCCCCGTCACCTCAGATTTCACATGCATCAGTCTGGGAAACCATCACCACCATCCCCCAGCTGCTCAAAGGGGAGAGAGAGGGGACACCACAGGACCAGGTGTGCCCAGATGAATCCTAGCTCTCCAGGACAGTGTCACGGGGAATCGCTTCCCCATTCCCCAGAGCCCCAGAACCCCCACCACAGATCCCCAGCACGTGCCAGCCTGGCGGCAACTCCCCCAAAATACTGCTATCACCTCACCTCCTCAAGGGGGCCACGCCCCACAATGCTCCTCACCCTGCTGACTACACACCAGTGACTCAGAAAGTGGGCAAAGCCGACCTCTCCCAGGCCAGCTCACTCAGGCTTCCTGAGAAAAAGGCAGCAGCCATCAGGAAGGGAGGGGTAGAGCCAGTGGAGGACACAGGGAGAGACCCTGGGTGAGGCAGTGGCCTGGGGGGAAGCTCTGGGTAGCACAAGCCATGCCCCGTCCTCCTCCAGGTCTTCATGACTGCCACCCTCTCACCCACTTTCCAGCTCCTTCTGCCAACAGGGCCGTGGCTGGGTCTATAGAGGGATACGCAGAGAATCTCCCCACCCAGAGTGTAGCGCACAGGGCCTCGGCCCTTCTCCTCCTCCACTTGCCAGCCCAGGCCACCCACTGCCCACCAGGCTGAGCACTTTGGGGCCAGGGCCCTAAAAGCTGGGGGTGGACAGTGAAGGTGGTTCCTAACAGGGGAGCAACGCCAGCACAGGCCCAGGGAGAGGCGGGACTTGCAGGCCCGGCTCAGCTCAGCTTGCTTCCCAGAGCCCCTCCTCCGATCGTACCTTCCTTGGTGGAGAGGTGGGCTCGGCCTGGAGGCGGGAAGCAAAGCCGGTGCCTGGTAACCTGCACGAGGCCCCTGTTGGGGGTCTTCTTCGGAGCGGGGCTGCTCTTCCCCCGGAGGGCCTGTCTGCGCCGCAAGCTGAATTGGCTCTTGGCAGTGGCACCAGGTGGGGGGCTGCTCTTCTTGTCCCCGGGAAGGCTGCGGAGACAAACAGCAGGCAGCTCCCAATAGGCTCCCACCCTCTTGCCCACCGGGATCCCAGTGCCATGGGTCCCAGAATCATGGAATCGGCCCCAGGAGGCGGCAAGCCCCAGGGGGTTCCAGCCCCCACGGGCTCCGCCTTCCCAGCTAATCAGCCACAGCGGCTGTCTGACGGCTGCTCCCATGCCCATCGGCAGCCAGGCTCCCAGCCACAACCTTGGAGGATCCGGGAGCCAGGGCAGGCGGAGAGCGGCCCCAGCCCTTGACCCCCCACCTGGTGTGTCCACAAGCATCTCCTCTATCTCCCCAGCCCAGACGAGCCCCAACGTGGGGCGAGGGGTTGGGGGGCAAAGGAGCAGGGCGCCGTCCCAGAGTAGGAGCTGCCACCAACCTCCCGAGCCCTCTCCGCAGGAGGGACTCCTTCTCACAGCTCCCCTTTCCACACTTGCTGAGACCTAGGAGGCCGTGGCCAGAAAAAGTGAGAAAGTGAGGGGGGCGGGGAAGCCTGTGTAATCCAAGATGGCACCTGTCTGGGAGACCAGCGCCAAAGACCAAGGTCAGACAGGAGGAAGGACCTCCGGAGGGGGACTCGCAGAGAGGATGGCATGTGCCACCGTGTCTGATGGCAGAGGCAGGCTCTCTGCCCTTGCCATTAGCAGCTCCCACGATTAAGTCCCTGACCCCAGACCAGGCACTGGGCCACGACGTCATCTTTGAGCCTCCTCACAACCTGCGAAGGTGGAGGGCTGGGAAAATGGCACACGTTCAGTGAGGTAGTGACTTATCCAGTCACCTGGCTGCCAAGGGGGCAGCCTTCCTCTCTGGTGGAAGAATGATCCCCTCCCGCAGACAAACTGCACCCTGGGTTTGCTAGCCCCGTGCCTGGCCCAGGCACAAAGCAGTCCATCCACAAATCCTGTGGTTGTGCCCCAGCCGCTTCTGATCTCTCACCAACAGGAGAACAGATGGGCTTCCTGGCACCCACCTCCACCTGTCCTCACCTGGCTGGGGGCCCCAAGCAAGCTCCTGGCCGTGCTGAGCCTCCCTTATTCATCTGTAAGGCACAGCAGTAACCCCAGCCTCACTCCTACCAGGAATGTTAATGCCACCGCACCCAAAGTTCCACGCTCAGAGCCGACCTGGCAACGCAGCAGGTGATGCTTCATTTCCTCCTCCCACACCCCTGCAGGTGGGCCCTCTCACCAGCTCTGCATACCAAGGAGGAGCTTACTGGGGCAAGCCTCACCCCCACCTGCCCAGACAGGATTCTGGGGTGGCGGCAGGGACACGTACCTAGCACTCCCCCGCCTCCGGATGATCTTGGTGCGGCTCTTCACTTTGTAAGCAGAGAGTGGGGTCTCACTGAAGAGGGGCTTCAAGCCGCTGGGTCCTACTGCTGGTCTGTCCCTTGGGGCGGACGTAGATGGGACTGGAGAAAGTTGGGAGCCATGATCCTTGCTGCCAGCCTCCGAATGCCAACGGAAGGACGAGGAAGAGGAGGCAGAGGGGCTGGAGGCCTTCCACTTGTACTTGCTGGGGGAGGTCCCAGATGTGGAGGACACGGCCGACCTCCTGGGCTTGGCATCCGGGTTGGCTCTGAGCTGCAGCTTCTCCACTCGCTCTGCTGTGCCAAAGGGGGTCTTGCACACATTCTCTGAGGCAGATCTGGGACTGAGAGCCCTCCGAGTAACACGGGGACTCTTCACTGAGGCAGCCACCCATTTGTAGTTGTTTTTCCGGAACTTGTTGGTTCGACAGGACACAAGCAGTGAGGCCTCTGGGGTCTGCCTGGGTCCAGAAGCTGGTCTAACTGGATCTGCCACCAAGTCAGAGGGAGCCGGCTGATCTGGGTGGCTGGCATTCGCTCTTCCATCACCAAGGAGCTGTGCAACACAGCTGGCCACAGACTGAGAGCCCACCTTCTGACCAAGGGCCGTGCCACTGCGTTGGGGCAGGGTAGAGGACAGGAAGTGTGCCTTGACCAAAACCGTGCTCTCACTGACTGTCCGCCGGGGCTCCGAGGGGCTGTCACTCACACTGCTCACAGACTTCACCACCCGGGGCTTGCCAGGCTCCTTCTGGCAGACCAGAAGGGGGTCCTCTGCACTGCAGCTCCCCTTGGCTCTTCCTGGCCTCAAGGGCTGCTTCTGCCTGCCAGGGGGCTCACCCTCACCTTCCTGAGGCCTGTGGTCGCTCCACGGAGAATCCTCACATTCTTCCAAGGAGCCCCGCAGGACCCCTGCCGCACTAGCCAAGCTCGGCTTTGAAGGTGGTTTGATTTTGATGACCATGTTCTGATCTGAACTCAGCTGGACCTGCCTCTCCAGGACACACTGCTGGGAGTCAGGAGGCTGGCTGCCCCCAGCCCCAAGGGGCGGCTGTGAGGCACAGTTGCCAGGTGGGTCCAAGGATCCTGGGGGCCGATTCACCAGGGAGTATTTCTTGCGCCATGCAGGCCCATGGTTTGGGGAGAAGCCCCTCCGGCTTGGACAGGGGTGGCGAGCACTGAAGGCCCTGCTGCTGTCGTAAGTGGGTGGCTGCCACAGAGAAGCGGCTGAGGTGCCTGGGGCAGGGGCACTGCCATGGAGGTTTTTGTAGTCATCGATCAGACCTGAGAAGACAGAATCACAGGCTCAGTTAATCAGAGGGTGAGAGTAAAATCAGCAACAAACCACTGACAAGACCTTGTCACCAGCTGACAACCCCTCCCACCCCCAAACCCCATCTCACCCCTCAGCCCCTGCCAGGTCCTAGTGCAGAAGAGGCAGCCCCTAGTGCCTGAGAACCACTGAGGCCCCGAGGCCTGTCTGTTCCATGAGGCTTTTCCCATGAGTTCTACTTCAGTCTATTTCTGGCTGCTTATCCTGAAAATGCACCCTTTTGGCATAACATTCCCTATTTGTGGGAATATTATGCTGGGTCCACAATCCTTTCAGCGGAAGTGTCACTCAATATGAAAAGACCAGCAAGGCCTCATGCTGTAATGCCTGGGCAAGAAGGGGGTCAGTCAGCCAGGAGGCCCTCTGCTTGCCCACAGATGAAAAGGGTGCGAGACTGCAGCTTAATGATCTCCCTGCCTGGCACACAGGTCAATGAGTGCAAGACAACTGACACCCCTGAGCACTCCACACCTGACAGGAAGGTCACACGGTCCTCCCCTAAGGAGAGGAGGGGCCTGATCCTCCTGAGCCCAGTGCCGTGGACTGACATGACCCTTTCCAAGGAAGCCCTGGATGGCTGTTGGCTGGGGAGGCCTTGGCTAGAACAACCTAGGACGTTAGGACTCGACCAACAAACCAGTAGCCAGCCCCCCAGTTACAACACTCCCTCACCACAGGGCCTGCCCCCAGGCCCAAAGAGAGTCATGTCCAGACCTGGTGACACTTCAGGGCAGGTATGTTGGAAGTCCAAGTAGTGGCCTGAGGGCCGGGCCAGCCCACCTGGACTCTCCCCCATACACACTTTCCAAGTCCTTAGGTCTTCTCTTTGTGGGAATAACTTCAAAAAGGAATTTCTTTAAAAAGTATAGAAAGCCCAAGGTGGGTCTAAAATTTGAAAAGTGTAGAAACTGAGACCTGGGAAGCCTGGGCCTGGAGTATCAAGGGGGGTGTGACTGTACGTTGGGGAGGAGCGCAAAACCGGGCGTCCGGGGAAGAAACACACCCCCTGGTTCCGAGCGGCTCTGCTACGCCGCACTGCCGGGCGCCGGGAGCGAGGGGGCGCCGGGGACCGGCCCGCCCGTGAGGGGTAGGGGGGCGCCTCCCGCCGGTTACTAAGCGACGGCCCGCCGCCACCCGCCACAGCGCCGGAAGAGCCCGCACTGCCCGTCGGACGAAACCTGGGCCGGGGGCTGACCCCCGCCAGCCTGGAAGCCCCTCCGGGTCCCCCACCCACTGCCCGACCCTACCCACTTCCCCGCCCGACCCGACCCGGCCGTCGAGACCGCGGGCGGGTAGCGACCCCCTTCGGGGAGGCGGGTGGGGCCCGCCGTGAGGTGAGGGGAAAAAAAGGGACGCGCGACCCCAGCCCCAGCCCGACCCACCCTGCAGGAGGCGTATCTGCCGCCGTAATTGCTCCTTCTCCTCCATCTCCAGAGTCCGCGACGCCCGGGCAGGCCCCCGCGACGTCATCTCCACGCGACCGTTTCCCCGCGAGCGGGGCGGGGTGGTGCCGAGACTGCGCACTTCGGCCAGGCCCGGGCGTCGGCACAGCCGCGAGGGATGGGCCGTCGCCCCGGCAACGCCTGCGGGGAGGCGGGGCCACGCACGCGCCGAGCGAGAGGCGGGGGCGACGTCCCTACCGAGCGCCGGGTAGTGGCCTCGCGGCTCTTGGGGAGGAGACGGTGGTGGGTGGTGGTCACCCGCCTAGGGCGGCTTGGGACGCCTCCTTTGCCCCGGGCTGTTGTTCCCTGCAGGCCTGGGCGAGAGGCTGAGACCAGGAACCCACCCCAGCGACAGCGCACTTCCTTCCCCAGTCTTCGCGGAGAATTACGGTCTGGGAGCTCCGCGGGGGCGACCTGGTGGGACGAGGGGCCACGAGGTTCAGTTAACGCTGTTCCGTGGGCCAGGGCAAGGAGAAGAAAAGTCCAAGAACTGGAGCCCCTGGGTAGACGTGTTAAATCTCTACGTGACAGATTTTGGTTTATCAGTGGAAACAAGTATAAAAACGGGTGTGTCAACCATTGTGCGTTGCTGGGGGATGTAAAATGGTGCAGCCGCTGTGGAAAACAGTCTGGCCGTTCCTCAAAATTAGAGTTCGAGTAGATTTACATAGACCCAGAATTACCATATGACCCAGCAATTCCATTTCTGGGTGTATACCCTGTTAAATAACAAATATTCAACAGAGTAATTTAAAAGATCAAATTGGCTCTATTGAATGATTCGTGAATCGCGCAGCATCCCATCTAGCAAATAGAAGGGAGCTCCGTCTAGCTGCAGAAAAGGAAAAGTTTTTAGAGGCAGAGAGGAAGTGTAAAAAAGGAAATTATTAGCAAAGAATGCATTGTCTTAGGCAAGGTCTCCCTCCTAGGGGGAACGGAAGGAGTCTATCAGTAAACTTCCTAGTTCTGATGAGGAAATTCCAGGTTGGCTGGTTAAAGGTCACATTTCTGAGGAAGGCTGAAACTGTAATTGGGTTAGGTATTAAGTCTTGGTCTGCTGCTGCAAGGCCTAACACTAGTGACTCCACTTTAGGCCTATTGTCTCCTTTTTAACAATCCTAAAGAAGTGAACGCAGGGACTCAAATATATTTGTACAGCAATGTTTGGTAAAATAATATTCACAATAACCAAAAGGTGGGAACAGCCCAAGTGTCCAGGAGGATGAATGGATAAACAATGTGGGATATATATACAATGGAATACAATTTAGTCCTGAAAAGGAATGTAGTACTGATCCGTGCTACAACATGAGTGAACCTCAAAACATGCTAAGTAAAATAAGCTGGTCACAAAAGGACAAATATTGTATGATTCCACTTACATGAAATATCTATAATAGGCAAATTTATAGAGACAGAAAGTAGATTACAGGTTACCAAGAGCTAGAGGGAGGAGGAATGGGGAATTAATACTCAATGGGTAGAGTGTCAACTCAAAAAGCAAATTTGTCTGTTATTTTACCCTCTAAATGAGTTTATTTGGGAATAGCCAAAAGAAATACAATTCAGGAGGCACATACTATGTCAAACTGCAGGCAAATCCAGAGAACAGAGGGGAGCTGCTGTTATAGAGAAAAAGGCGGAGTAGGGAGCGGGTGTTGTAAAGGAAAGTCCATTGAGTGAAAGTAACAGTTCAGGGTGGTAACGGCTTCTCATTGGCTGAGCTGTGGCATTTCTCATTGGCTGGCCTGGTGCCCCTGGGAAGAGAAATCTTGCTTCCACAGTAAAGGAGTTTTACTTCCTGTTTAAGAGGATGGAGCAGGTCTCTTCCTACTGGGTGTAATTGATGATGTGATAGGGGTTCGGGCTCCCCTACAGGTCTGCCAGACTCCAGTGTAGTTAAGGTTTCTCTTTACTCATTTCACAAGATTTTCTGTTTGGAGTGATGAAAAAGTTTTGGAAATAGTGGCAATGGTTGCATAACATTGTGAATGTACTTAATGCCGCTGAACTGTAGACTTGAAAATGGTTATTTGACAACTTATATATTGTATATATTTTACCACAGTTTAAAAAGTGAACAGAATGTGTCCACCACTGACCTGCACAGTAGGAAATGTTAAAGGAAATTCTTCAGGTGGAAGGGAAATAATATAATATGGAAACTCAGATCTACATGAAGAAAGAGGACAGGAAATGGGAAATACGTTAGTAAACTTTTTTAAATTCTCACTTCTCGTTTCCTCTAAAAGACAAATAGTTAACAGCGAAAATAATGAAATTGTATCATGGGGTAGAAGTGAAACATATGCTAATGAAATTGTATCATGGGGTAAAAGTGAAACATATGCAGACAATGAGGCAGGAGGTTCCTGCCTCTGTCTCCTGCAGGTGAGGATGCAGCCCACGGCCTGCCTCCCAAGTCAGCCCCTGGACCCGCCCCAGGGGTCAGTACTATCCACTTCACATGCAGCAGTGCACACTGTGAGGGCTTCTCCTTCCGCAGTGGTGGCGTGCCAGGCTGGGAAAACCAGGCAGTAAAATGGCCTCTGCACTCAGGCTGTGGGATGTGGGGTGGAACCCCACTAGGAGTCCCTCCCAGCCCAGATGTATTTGGGAAGAGAGAGAATCTTTTCAGCACCATCTTTGCTTCCTTCTCCCATCCTGGCCCCATTCCAAGCACTGCCCAGTCCTGCCTATCCTCATTCTTAACCCTCCTCTTCTCCCACTGCCGCTGTTCCAGCTGAACCCTAGCTGGAGTTTCTGTCTCTCCCCTTCCAGGAGTTCTCCACAAAGCAGCGAGTGGTACCCTGGGAAAGAGGCCATGTGGACAAGCTCACAGTGACTTATGTACTGGGGCTGGTGACCATGGGCCCAGCCTCAACGCCTGAACCTGTGTAAGATACTTAGCCCTTGGGAAAACTCTGAGGACAGGGGAGGTCTCAGAGGAAGAGTGAGATGGAATTTCCCAGCAGGGATCTTGAAAAGCATTTATGCTTTGGACTTGCCCTGTCTTGCTTCTCTTGAGAATCCTGTAATCAGCACCTTATGAATGAGCCAGGGCTGGCCTGCTGCAGGATAGACAGCACGTGCCCAGTTAGTACCACTGACCCTCCTGACAGCCAGCCATCTGCCAAACGTGAGGCCATCAATTGCCAGCTAACCACAAAGTTGATGAACCCAGGTGATACCACGTGAAGCAGAGATGAACCATCTCAGCTGCACCCAGCCTAAATGCTGTAATTTAGGGCAAATCACATAATTATGAGCAAATTAGTGGATGTTCTTTATGCCACTAAGTTTTGGGGTGATTTCTTTTTGTTTGTTTGTTTTCCTGAAGAAGATTTGCCCTGAGCTAACATCTGTGCCAATCTCCCTCTATTTTGCATGTGGGTCGCTGCCACAGCATGGCCACCAATGAGTGGTGTAGGTCCATGCCCAGGACCCAAACCTGGGCCGCCAAAGCAGAGCACACGGAACTTAACTGCTAGGCCATGGGGCCGGCCCCTGAGGTGATTTCTTGCACTGCATGAACTAAGGGATTCATGGGTCTGGCACTGAGCCTGTTGTCTTCTGTGCCGGACAAGCTCTCTGCTCCTGGACTCCAGTTGCCAGGTGGCAGGGAGGAGAGCCCAGCCACCTGCTGAGAGGAGGCAGGGATTGTGGACTTGTCTCCTGGGGTCATGAAACTGTGGGTGGGAGGTAAGTGCCGTCACAGTTTGCCTTCAGTGGTGATGAGAGGGGAGCAGAGGCTCACGTGCACTATTTACTCAGGACACTGGCAGAGACTCTGAAGGGCGATTTGCAATATGTGCCAAGACCTTGAATATCTTTTGAGCAGTTTCACTTTTAGGAAGCCCCCCAAAGGAAATCATGAAACACGTGCAAGAACTTTTGAACAAAAATATCAAGGCTGCACTCTTTATGAACACTGGACAAAAACGTTTAGCATGTTTATAGCCATTTACAGCATGCCAGGCCTTGTTCTAGTGTTAACATGTATGAACACATTTAATCCTCAGAATAGCCCTCTCGGGTGTCGTTTCCAGTCAGGGATGAGGAAACCAATATGCAGAGTGGGTCAATCTCCGCTCCCACACCTGGCAGGATAGCCACACCCTCCCCTGACTTCTGCACAACCTGGACTGTCTACTTCCTGGCCATCTCTCCTCCAGTGGTCTCTACTTGCTGATGGCCCAGTCTCCCTGCCGTCTCTTTGCCTGTCGTCTTTGTCCCACAGGCTGCCCACATGCAGGTCTGGGGTAAATGAAGGGATTTCCGTTACAGACAATCCGAAAACCAAGGAACCGAGGGTCAGACATTCCAGCTGTTGGAAGTCCATCAAGATGGGCATCTCCCTCTCTTCCTCACCCAGAGGTTTTCTCCCACCACCCCTCTGCTCTCCCCCACCTTCTCCTACACCCAGCTTCCAGCTCTTTTCTTATGCAGGGGGTTTCTCTGCATGTAGCCGGATCGGCCGTCCTCTTTCCTGAGCTGCAAGCTGTTCCCCCTCACAACCCCACCCAGGTATGCCCTGGGCCTTGCCACACCCCACTTCTCTCCAGCCCCACCACCTAAGGTCACCCCGGTGCACCAGCCTCTCTGAAGGGGGTGGAGGGAGTAATTAAAGGGAATGTAATGTAGCTATACCAAACACACTTTTATCAAGGGGACATACACAAAATGCCAAATCTGTGCTGGGTGTTATCTGCTCCCCTTTCTCTATGCCCTGCCGAAGTATCTGCCTCCCCCCTCCACCGACCCAGCCTGCATCCACTCTTGGGGGTATTTCCCCCCTCCTGCCATCTCCTTCCCTCTAGAAGGTCTATATGAGAGTCAGGTGACCTGACTCACCAGGCTCTCAGGTAGGAACAGGTGGTTGGCAGTGATAAATAAATGACAAGCAATAGGATATACTGGAGTATATGAGGAACCCATTTGATGTAAAACTAATTCAGCCTGAACTTGTTCCAAAAAGGCCTGATGTGACTGTTGACCATGCATTGTATATCTGCTTATGCCCTTATATCTACA